TTTCACTACTGGTGCGACGCTTCTCCAGAACAACTCCATCCATCCACCGAAGACTATCAACAGAGAACGTCAGCACTCCATCCCTCAAGTATCTCAAGAAGGTGACTGAGGATCCAACACTGGTACCTCTCTTTATACATGTGTCTTTGTTGCAGTTAGCAAATCAAAATGACCAATATGTTTGGCGCTACTGCCAGAAGCACAACATCATACTCCCTACGGCTCAGATAAACCCCCCTGAGCCTGCCCCAGGGAGTCAGTCGAGAGAAAGTGAGAGTCATGAGAGTTCAACCCAGCCACAGAGACTAGTGGCAGTCCGGTCCCATGATGATCAGACTACGTCTATTGAGGGCCACCCCTGAGTTACTGAGGAGACTACCAATGACTCGTCTAGCGCATCCAGTCCACAAAACGCTGATGATGGGGGCTATGGGAGCAAGGATGGAAAGAGCGACAACGACAAGGGTGATGAGGAAGACGATGATGCAGACGACAACGCAAGGAAAGCCAGGAAAGCTCCGGTCCAAAAATGTCGATTCATTATCAATCTTCCTACGACTGCAGATAAAGAGGAGTCTTACTTGAGAAAGAACACTCAAGGACAGATTATCAGTGATACTCACTCTAAGCAACATCATGACATCCTCTCTTCATCACTCACTCCTACGCAAAGAGTGCAGACATCAAGCCATCCTGGCACAGAGACATCAAGACATCAAGCCTTGTACGATGGTTGTTCGGACCTAGATAAAATAAACCGGGCTAACCCCATAGGCACAGAGACTGTTCTTTGCCTTACCGTCTCTCTCTCTCTCTCTCTCTCTCTCTCTCTCTCTCTCTCTCTCTCTCTCTCTCTCTCTCTGTGTGTGTGTGTGTGTGTGTGTGTGTGTGTGGGTATGTGCGTGTGTGCGGGCATGTGTGTGCGTACGTGTGCGGGCGTGGGTGCGGGCGTTTGTGCGTGCGTCTGTGGGCGTGCGTGCGTGCGTGGGAGGGCGTGTATGCGTGTGTGCGTGGGCGAGCGGGCGGGCGGGCGTGTGTGGCTGAATAGATAAATAAATAAATAGATAAATGGATAAATAGTTAACTAGATAAATAGTTATCTAAATAAATAGATAAATCGTTAAATAGGTAAATAGATATATAGATATAGATAAATAGATAAATAGATAAATAGACAAATAGTTAAATGGATAAATAGATAAATAGTTAAATATATAAATAAATAAATAAATAAATAAATAAGTAAACAGATAAATAGGTAAATAGATAAATAGTTAAATAGATAAATAGTTAAATAGATAAATAGATAAATAGTTAAATAACTAAATAAATAGTTAAATAGATAAATAGTTAAATAACTAAATAGATAAATAGTTAAATAGTGCGTGGGTGCAAGAGTGCATGCGTGCGTGTGCGTGCAGGCGGCCGTCCGGGCAGCCGGGCGTGAGTGTGTGTGGGTGTGTGTGAGTGGGTGTGTGGGTGTGGGCGTGCATGTGGGCATGCGTGCGTGCGTGCGTGTGTGCGTGTGTGCGGGCGTGCGAGCGGGCGTGTGTGTGTGCGTGTGTGTGGGTGGGGGCGTGCGTGTAGGCGTGCATGCGTGCGTGCATGTGCGTGCGGGAGTGCGTGTGTGTGTGTGTGTGTGTGTGGGGGGGGGGGGGGGGGCGTGCGTGTCACGCCCCGGACCTCCCCGGACACGTCAACAACCCGCCGTACAACACGAATAGTCAACCAAAGTCAACCACATCCATATTATACAAGGCGTCATGAATATCATTCACACATAAGTCATCCATAAACATACATAATAAACAATTCAATACGCAGCGGAAAACTTAGTTCAAAATCAAATGCCACACGGGGCAAGCATGAGCACGCAGGCCCTAAAGTAAAATATCCATGAGCATGTTTATTAATGTTCTAAAACAGAATGGAGGAAGCACGAACCAAGTCTTCTCTCCGGGAAATAACTCGAGCAACGAGCACAGGAAGCAAGCTCTAGCCTCAACCTGAAATGGTGGTGGGACGCCCCCGAAGGGGTCAGTACTCTATACGGCTATAAAGTACTGGTGTGGCAGGCATCTAATAGATATACAACAAGTATTTCAAACGCAAGACCCTCAAATAGGGTGATAATACATTATGATTGTAACCCTAAGTTACCCCGTTTGAAAATATACTTACTTTATATAAAAGTCAAGTAGTCGGCCCGTGGGCCCAGGTTCATTTAGAAATCACCATTCCCATTCCCCGTGACTATAAGCCACGACAACTCATAGAGTCCAACCCTAAAACATGACATTGTATTCTAGAGCTTCGCTCTATCACATCACCATACAATTCATGTCACTCGGGTCAATTTCCTTACCTTGCATTTTAGAGCACGGCTCTATCACATCACCATGCAATCCTTAGAGCTCCAACCCAATACATGACATTGTATTCTAGAGTTCCGCTCTATCACACCACCATACAATTCATGTCACTTGGGTCAATTTCCTCACCTTGCATTCTAGAGCACGACTCTATCACATCACCATGCAATCCTTAGAGCTCCAACCCAATACATGACATTGTATTCTAGAGCTCTGCTCTATCACATCACCATACAATTCATGTCACTTGGGTCAATTTCCTCACCTTGCACGAAGGTCCAATTCCTAAGCAAACATATGCCTAGAATTGACATATCGATAAACTACCTTGGGTCATCCTTAAAGACTGCCCATAACATAACCTTAGCTTCATACTAAGTCATTATATGCACTTGAGGTATATTAAGTGCATTGCATACAATCCAATCCCTAGGATCAATTCTATCAACAATTTCCAATAATCACTAACTAGTATTTCAATACTATTAAGATTATTGTTATCATACAAATACTCTCACTTTGTCATTCTCTACATATTTACAATTATGTAGCAGCAACTTAAGTATTCAACCTCAATACATAAATATTCATTTATGTATCCACATAATTCATACATGAGTAAAATGCCTATTTCACAAAATAGTTCATTTATAACTCATTTAATCTCATATTATTCATACGTCCTCAAATCATTTCCAATTTCATTCTTTGGAAACTATATCAATATTTAATCAATATTTAATCATCATAATCCATGAAAAATTATGCTTTAGGCATTGAGGTAATCTCATGCTTAACCTACAAGTTGTAAGCAATTAGATGTCAATCCTCACCTTAAATGAGCTTTAAAACTTTCCTTCTCGATCCAATGACCAAAGCCTCGGCCAAGGAAGTTTGAGAACTGATTCCTTGCTTGGAAATGAGTGTTAAACAGCCTCCTCAAGGTGCTAGCTCAACCCCTAATCGTTGATACGAAAACAGCCCCTAGAATGGGTGTTTTCCGGCTAACTCGTTTCCTAGTTTTCCAAGATTTGCTCTAGGTTAGTATCTAACCTTTACACCAATAAAATAACTTTACAAGGACATATTACACACTTGGAGTTAGGGGTGGGCAAATATACCGAACCGGCATGATACCGAACCGGACCGGTATGGTACCGGACCGATAAATGGGGTTTGAAACGGATCTCAAAATTTTTGTCCCGAACCGGACCGAACCGGTTCCAAACAATGCCATGACCGGTTCTCATAAAATGAGAACCGGTACCGGACCGAACCGGACCGAAGTATGGTTTATTAAATTTGTACTACTATAGTTTATCTAAAATATATTAATTACCGCATCCGTCCCAAATTGATTTGCAAAGCCAACATTTTTTTTGTCAAAGTTAATGTTAAGTTCTTGATAATTAATACAATTTTTAATAATTAAAATTTACATATTTAGAAACCACATTAAAATCTCTCTAAAGTTGCAAAATCCAAATTAAAATATACGAAGTACGGAGTAGTTTTTTTGAAAGGCCAAATTAGAATGTAATTAAAAAGTGAAATTCTAATTAAGTGAATTAAAAGAAATTGTTTGACCAAAAAAAAGATTGACTTTGCAAATCAATTTGGAACGAAGGTAGTATGATACTACGTATATGAAAATTGATAAATTGTGTAGATTTTTGGAGGATGGCTAAACTTTAATTTTTTCTTAAACACCTGGAAAAAGTGGCATTGTTTGGTATTGGTATTGCATGGTACCGTCCCGTTTGAAAATGGACCGTACCGAACGGGTTTGGGTCTAAGACCGAACCGTACCGAACCGTTTCAATAGTAATGGTACGGGTACGGGTTCAGCCAAATATTGGACCGGACCGGACCGTGCCCACCCCTATCGGCAAGCGTGGCGGAATAGTCTTTAGCCACAAAAGTGGTTTCTATGTCAGAAACCCAGCGATGGTACTCAAGTCCTTCTGAGTCCAGGATGTCGAACTCGGGTCGAGTTGGATCAGTCATCTTTAAAATATAAAATTGTATGAGTTTCATTCACTAATGTACCATATATCGCTTAAAAAAAAGAAAAAAATGTGATTCTTTGTGTGAAAATTCTTTATCACATAAAAAAATGACATGGGATATGTCTCTGTGTAGACAATATTTTGTAATGCATCGAAGAGAGGAGATATATTCATCTCCTTAAAAAAAACATAGAGATTTTTTTTTTGTAGAAAGTATTAATATTGGTCTAATGAATGGAGTAGGCATATCTCAAAAACGAATTTAATAATTCTTTTAGTAAAATATATTGTCGAATTATTGAAAGAAAAAAATATTTTTCCATATATTTTAATTATATAAAAAAAATGGAGTTAAAAATGAATTTAATTGTCGTTTTTTTTTTCGAATTTAAATAAATGGAGCTAAATTTAGAATTGAAATTTTTGTTGTGTAAAAACGAATTTAATAATGTATTAGTAACCTAGTGTGCAAATATCTTAAAAACATTGTGTTGTACGTATGTTGATTACCAAAAAAAATTGTAGTTTTTTTTCGTTTTTTTCGGAAATGAGATTGAATTTTCTAAAAATGAAAATATATAAATTTTCTTCATATTTCGTTAAAAAAAAATTAATTAGTGTGAACACATGGCATGTAATATTTGTTGTGAACTATGTGAAACGTGAACTGTGAAAAAGGCATGCACATGAATCAACCATACATACACACGTATCTAAATGTGCATCTAAAAATGGAATATTAAGATCAAGATTTGTCTTTTTTTTTTTTTTTTTTTTTTGCCGGGGAACATTTGCCGTTGTATTATTGAATAAGAAATAATTTACAAAAAAGAGGGGGACTAGACCAAAACCTCTTTAGAATGGGCATACCCATTCGAGATACAAAACAAGCAACAATTGACCAAACGACAAAAATTAAAAAAGAAAGAAGAAATTGGGGGGTCCACTCCTTACCCAATTGAATTATATTAGTTAAGAAATCTAAAAGAAGGAAGTCCATAGAAGTCCATAAAGTAAGCCCGTCTAGCTGATATAGGAAGATCTCTTGGACTTGAAAATATTTCTAATTGGGCCGATTTTTCCTTTGCCAAGTAATGGGCTGGCCAATTACCCTCCCGTTTTACATGTCCGAACGAAATAGCCTTATTTCCTAAATTAAGAAGGATTGCCTGAAACTCCTCTTTCCAAAATCGAGCCTCCTTTCCCAACAAAATCAAGATAGCCTCCCTACAATCAGATTCCACATGAAGTTTTACAAATCCAACCTGAATCACCCATTGTAAGGCGTAAAAGATGGCCCTCAGCTCTGCTTCCAGGGGCGACGCAGCTTGAATCGGAAATCGAAGACCAGCCACCATTCTCCCACCTTCATCTCTGAGCATAGCACCTCCCATAGCCTGACCATCTGCAAAAGCCGCATCGGTATTAAGTTTTAAACCCTCTTTTGGCTTTATCCACTTAATTAGTTGAAACTTTCTGCTGGGTAAATGAAAGCCTTTAGGGATTAAGTTTTCTTCGTATAAAACCTCGGGTATAGAAGACCTTTTAGGATCTTTTAACGAGAAAACCCATTGTTGAGTATACCACTTAATCTGGTTTATCAAAACCGAAGGATTAGTTGAATAATCACCGTCACCCCAAATAATGTTGGTATAAACTTTCCAAATGTTCCAGCAAATAATCCCAGGTATGTTATGTTTGAAAGAATCCTCTATTTTCTTGCTACCTGCTTTCAACCACCACAAGATTAATATCTGCCTTATCGTGTTAGTATTATTGGGAAAATGTATCCCAAAAAGACCCATAAAATAAGACCAGATTGGTTTAGTCTTGCTACACTGAAAGAATAAATGATCCACCTCATCCTCATGATTTCTGCAAAAGGGGCATATGGAGGGGTTAAGCACTAATCCAAATCTTTTCATATTGCTATTAACGGGCAGGAAATTATTTAGTATCTTCCACTGAAGCAACATGACTTTTAATTGTTGCTCAGAATCCCAAATATGCTTATATGAAAAGGAACTAATTGTTTCATCTCTGATGAAGTTATAAGCTGACATAAGTGTGAACTGTCCAGTTTTTTCCAGGTCCCAGCACAAAGTACCAGTGGTATTAGTGGCGCAAGCTAACAGAGCCAATTGGTTAACTTCACAGATTCTCTTCCAAACTACCGAATCAGTAGCTTTAGGTATGAGATTTCCTTCTCTTTGATACTTAGCATTCAAGATTTGTCATATGTATATACTTATCTAAAGTTGACAGTTTTCTAAATAGAGTGGAAAAAATCGGTTTCATTATTTAGTAATATGATATATTTAGAAAGATATAATAGATTTGATAAATTTTTGAAAGAAAAATTCACACTTATCATTTTTAAATTCTTGCCATATTTGTTAATATATTCTTTGTGTACTAAACATACGTATGTGGAAAGAAATGTATTAATGTATAGAGGTACATATATTAGTACGTAATATATATTTGAACGTAATATATATTAGGTAATATATATTATAAATATAACTCTTGTACGTAATAAGTGATTTTCACAATTTGAACGTATACTTATATTAGTACATATAAGTGATATATATTAATATATATGGAAAGAAATATTAAATTTAAATTGAGAAATCTCTATTTCATGTATGTAACGTCTAATATGTTGATTTGAGTATTTAATGGAGTAATCTTATGTGATTATGGTTCCAACTATATGCAAGTGACATATAGCATTACGGAAAAATATAATCACATAATATGTAAAAAAAAATAAAATAAATCATAATATGATCTTAATTCATCCTATATGTATCTAACATATGGCTTTACGGAAAGTATAATCATATAAAATGCATGAAAATAAGATTAATCGTGTGATCTTTGATTCCAACTATATGTATACGGCATATAGCTTTACGGAAAAGTATAATCACATGGATGTATAAAAACGAAGAGGGATGCATAATGTGATATTGATTCCAACTATATGATTATATAACATATAGCATTACGGAATTATAATCAAAAATTGCATCTACCTCTAAAAAAATGGATGATACGACTTAATCTCAAAAAAATCAATGATGTTCATCACAATGGTAAACATGATGCAATAAATCATATACATAAGGTTCTACAATGATTTTTGAGTAAAGCAAATACCTCAAAAGAGATCCGAGAATCGGTGAGTCGCAGGCTAGGAAGGGGGGGGGGGGGGGGGGAGGCCGTGGCTGGACCGTTGGCGGCGCGGCTGGACTGCTGGCGGCGCGGCTGCGGATTGAGTGTAGGGAGAACGGGAGAAAAAAAATAGGTTTAGTGCTACGTGCTGATAACGTGTTCTAGGGAAGTGAGAGAGGTGTGTTCATTCCATTAGTAAGCCCCCTTTAAATAGGAGGGATTAGGGTTTTACAAGGAGTGGGCCAATGGGCCAATTAGCTCAATACATATAATCCCTAGGTACACTTTCTATCTATAACGAATGCACATTAAAGTAATTTCCTTCAACAATAACCAGAATTATAGTTGTTATAAATTTAAGAAGATGAAATATATTCTACCTTAAGATGGCTGCCGTTTGTGTTTTTTAAAAAATCTAATGCTCTTATATTCACTCTCAATCTATTCGGGAGTCCATTGGAAATCATGTTTTTATTAAAGATGTTTAAATCCAGTGGGTTAAGATAGGGCTCATGTACTCTAAGTATATTATGCACACATGTTGTTCAATGAAATGTTTAGGCGAGCTTTAATAATAAAAATGCAGAACTTTAATAGTAGAAAACATAGTTTTTCTTCTTCAATTCTACATTCTTATTATAAATTGTTTGACTAAATGCTGCCATAATGCTCAACATCTACTTTCATTCATTTCTTTTCTCCTTTTACTTTCCTATTCTTTTTCATTTTTTTTCTTTTATGAAGTGTCGTAACTTGCTAATTTGTTCAGTTTTTTTGAAGACATATATATATCTCTCTCTCTCTATCTCAACTCCGTATTGCAGAATACCATCAGGTCTCTTCGACAGAATTGATTGGAAATATTATGGATTATGAATTGAATAGGTGAGTATTGGTTCTTATAAGTGCATTTATCATATGAACATCACAATGTCAATGACAACTAATGGGTATTATTACTTCTTCACTACAACTAGATCATCACAGCTTGATGGTAATAATATTAATATCACCTTATCGGGATTTTGATTTTATTTTGCAGTTTTTGTAATATACAGTTGGACAAAGTCATCTCAGTTTTGTGCCTCAAACATTTTTTATCTCTTATATTTGTGTAAAATATGTGTACTCATCATGCTATATTCCTAGGTACCTTAGCTTGCTTTACAGTTTTTCATGTATAAATGTATTAACTTTTATGTTCAATTTTTAACATTTGAACTTTTACAAATAACGATATCCATGTTGTAAGTTTAGATTTCTTTGAAGTTGGACTTGATTATTTTTATCATCGCCCAAAATATACATTTTTACATGTGAACTAATTAGCTTGGAAGAAAATAATATTTCTTGAAATACAATAGGTTCATGCATAAACGTTTTATTGAGGGTATTTAAAATTCTATAAGATTGTAATATGTGTAGTGATCATTTCCAGTAGCTACTTCCACAAGAAATGATGGACGCTCAATCTGTCTCACAAAAATTGGTCAAAAAAACTTTTACATTTCCGTATAATTCTCATTTTTTAAATAATTATTATTGAAGTATTATAACATGGATTCATGGTTTATCAATTCTTAACCATAGCATTATTAATGCAATAGAATCACTTCTTTATTAACTTTACAAAGTATATTGATCACCATGTTTAGTTTATCACAACCATGAGCAATCAAGATAAAAACGTTAAATTAATATTTCATCAATATGATACATAAAGTCATGAAAGCCATTAAAATATAGGAACAAATTGAAAATAATAATCCCAACTATTGCCAGCCTGCCAACAATAATCTCAACTATTGATTATTTTTGTATAATCCCAACTATATGGACCGTCCGCCAATAATGGTCCATGACTAGATATTACCTCCTGCAACAAGTGAATTTTAAATAGAAATTAAACGTAAAAATTAAAAGTTGAGATTATTTATAGGGATTACTTGTTATATCTCTTCTCATCGACTTTAGAAACTACACGAATTTATTTATAGGGACCATTATTGGCGGAAGGTCCCTAAAGTTGGAATTATTCTGAAATAATCGATAGATAGTTGGAATTATTACTATCAATTTTTCCTTATTTCTAATATTAAAATTATATGAAAATGTTTTTGTTAAAAGTACTTTCATAAAAGTATAAAATTTATAACTTTCATAATAGTATACTAATCAAAATCATGGGTCAATTTTTTGAAATGACAATGTTTTTTGGGACGGAGGCAGTAATTTTTTTTAAATTGCTCTGAATAAGAATAAAAATGTTTTAAAATTTCAAAATAGAACATTCTATCTTTTTATTCTCTAAATGGGAGTAATTTCCAAAAATTGGTAGAAATTAGCATTTTTAAAACATGATAATGTCAAATTTGATAAAAAATTACTTCTATATAAAGAATAAAAATATGAAAAATCCAGTCCAACCTTTTAACTAATTTAGATTTTAGCCGTCCGATCTAAACTGATATTATTAGGAGGTGTTTGGATCTGATCAGGGATGGATTTAGGGGGGGGGGGGGGGCGGGGGGGCGACCGCCCCCCTTGGACATTCAAGTTTTTTTACCATATATGTAATATTTTCATAAAACTTTCATAATTTAATTAGATTCGCCCCCCTTAGCATTTAATTTTCAAAATTAATATATAAAGTCTTACATAATGTAATACTTAATTGGAGATTTAAAAGAAGAAACATCTAAAATAATTCACATAACTTAAACAAATAGACAATAGAGTAACTCGTTATTTAAGATTTAGGATACTTATTATATAAGAATTACTAGTTTTGTAATGTTTAATTATCTTTATTAGATAACAAGTACGGGATTTCGTAAAACATATATCAAACAATATTAAATACCAGACACACTAATTACACAGTTTTTAGATCACGTGAAATGAATCCAAAATATAAATATTTATAGACATTAGATTACATAATTCATTTACTTCTAGCTTTCTAAAAATAATTTATTGCATGGATAATAAACTCTAAATTATTATAGAATTAATAAAAGTATTAAAATATAATATGCACCATATATATGTGTGTGTGTGTGGTGCATATTATTCTAAAAATAACAATCTCATACATACTAGTATGCTACTATTGTAATATTAAGAAAACTTTTCATGAGTCACTCACGAACACCCTCCTTGGTGGACAAAAATTACAATTCAATAACTGATTCATGAGGTTAAACAATGTAGAAGTTATTAAAAATGTATTGGTTGATGTCTTTGTCATCGTCTAAACTGAGAATGTAATAGATTTAAATGTCGTTCGGGATGTGCATGTATTAATATCATTTTTTGAATAAAAATAGCCACATAGCCCTACAGTAGCGAAAAAATTTCGCCCCGCTATACTAGGGAATAAAATTTGACCCCGCTACACTAACAAAAAAAATTCACCCCCTACACTAACGAAAAATTTCGCCCCCCTTGACTCAGAATCCTGGATCCGTCCCTGGATCTGATTCTTAAAACTGCTTATGCTCCTTCAAAGAACAGAAACAGAAGTTAGAGCGTTAGGTGAAAGTACAGAAATGATTATAGTGGTTTTATTTACTTTTAAAATCAATTTTTTAGAAGTTGAGAAATATTAGCTTCTCAAAATTGATTTTGATTATACTTGAAAGAAGCGTGGTACCAGTTCCAAACACCGACCAAGAAAGAGTGAACGGATACCACCCCAGTCTTAAAGTACGATCGGAAGGATTTCTCCTTTGTACCCTTGGACGACATGCCAAGTTGGAGTTGCCAACACTGCATGCACCCCACGGATTCTGATTTCTGCAGGTGACGCATAGATATGGGTACCATTCAGCTGGGAAAGATTCGTGAGAGTGGCGCGGCGGGTTCTTTCTCTACCTTTTCCATGGAGGTTCTACTCATCGCTCTGGTGTTACAGCTGGTGGGTGTTGACAGAGGGTTGTGCTCAGGAGGGCATGAAGGACGATTTTCAAATCCAGCTCCCTATGTGTCAGCAATTGGAGACCCTGGAATGAAGGACCCAAATTCCAGATTTGCATTTGAGGCCTGGAACTTCTGCAACGAAGTAGGAGAAGAAGCTCCAAAAATGGGTAGCCCCAGGATGGCAGACTGCGCTGATCTTTCTTGCTCCGCCGATTCAAGCAGAGGTTCTGTTCTCTCTTTATTTTAGCTTATTTGTGTGTTAATGATGGAAACATTTGCATCCCGCTCAGTGTTTTGGATCATTCAGTGGAGAATTCATCCTTTAAATTGAGGACTTGATTGGCTCGAGTATTTGGTACTCATATATCCCTTGGGTTCATAAAAAGAAACAAAGATGTGCTTGTGCTTGGGGGGCAATGGAGACCGTCCTCTATAAAAAGGAGTGTGTTTGGAATAATGACTTCTTAGTTTGGACTAAACTTTACTAGTCCGTTTTGTGTGCATTGAACTATATAGTCTATTTAAGTCTCTACTGTTCCGCTTAAGTTTGGTCTGAATTGGTATGCTTTTATTTGATATTATGTGTTTTTTCGAGTAGTGTTATAATGCTGATCCATTCATCTGCTCTGTTCATGTCTATTGAAGTGGATTTTGCCGATTCATGTGATCTGTTTAAGTTTGTGTTGGTCTAGGTGCGACAAGCTAATAGGTCCTAATTTGTAGTTGTCACTAGATTTAAAGTCACTCCTAACTAGGTTGGGTTAAGGTGCTGATATTGATGATGATGTCGATGATCGATAGCATGAATCTTTTATTCGTGAAAAGCATTTTTTCTAGTATAATATGAGATAAATTCACTTTACTCTTTCAGACTCACATACATGATTATTTCATGAAATAAACGTGACTATCTCTTCGCAAAAATTGACCTGCTATTTGGTTCAGATCACACTCCAATCAACAGCTTAAGGATCAAACTCGTTTTGATATGCGAGGTTTAATTGAGTTTGGTATTTAATATGGCATTTAATACATTCTAGAAAGTTTTGGAAATTAAAGATTCTGAAACTTTGGGGTGAAATGCAATATGATTCCATCTTTTGCTCAAGTTATCTTCATCATCATCATCATGTAAAATATCTACCCATACATTTTCCAAGACCAACATATTGAACTATACAAATTTAGCATCTGGATTTATCCTTTTCCTATTATCTGTTTATTGACGCGCTTAGATCATCTAAAACTAACTTCCATAATAACAAAGGCCAAACGTTGGTCAAGATTTCTCTTCATATCCTCTTTTTGGTGATATTCACCAGGCCAGAATCTCTCAGAGGGATGCAAATGTGAAGTACATCAGAGGGTAAATGAATCAGACAACTTATTAAGAGCTGGAGATGAGTTTCCACTCCAAGGTTTCAAACCAACCATGGACCCTGATCTTTATGCTGTGGAAAAGGAGAAGTACCTTGGATCTCTTTGTGAAGTAAGCAACTATGAAGAACCATGGCAGTTCTGGATGATTATGCTGAAAAATGGGAACTTTGACAAGAACACATCCCTTTGCCCAGAAAATGGAAGGAAAGTCGAAAAGATTGTCACAGGCAGAAATTTCCCATGTTTTGGTAAGGGGTGCATGAATCAACCACTTGTCTTCCGTAACCACTCAAGGGCTGTCTGCTCTGGACAACACTCATCATTAGCTGGTGGGTTTTATGGGACGTATGAGCTTGATGCCAATTTAAGCACAGGGGTAGAGGGGAACTCTTTTTTTGCAGTTTCATGGGAAAAGAACATAAGTACAGGAAGCTGGATTATATCACACAAACTGACAACATCCTCCAAGTACCCATGGCTTATGTTGTACCTTAGAGCTGACGCAACAAAAGGCTTTAATGGTGGATATCACTA